CTATTTTTTAGGCAACCCGTACATTCACCGGCTCAGGATACCCTGAGTCGGGTGCTTTTTTTCCATGTTTCGTTGCAGTAACATAGGGCATTTAGCCCAGTGATGTCAGTGCGCCTTGGCCGGACCAGCTGGACACTCAGTGCAAGCTTTACGGCCACAGTGTTGTGCTGATGCACTGGACATTGTTTGGGGTCCGCTGTAACAAACCGCATATTGTTGTTGCTGCATGGAGCTGCATCAGGAACGAAACGGCAGCTGCGTACGACGCGTGCCGTCCTTTTAGAGCACAGGACTGTAATTTCGCTGTGCCCATTACCCTGTAACTTGCCATTATCACCGGAACGTGCTTATTTCGAGCTTAATGCCTTTACCCCATAAAGTATCAGTCTAAACTGATGAGCAAGCAGTGAGGGCTCCTCCTCCTGGGTGGGTGCTCCATCAGGGCTGCTGCCGGATGACGTACGAAGCTAAAATGAGCTGAAATGAGCTGTGAACCAGCCTATGCACTGCTGGCTGGCTGCAGCCTGGGGTGCAAGCGCGCGTCCATCAACATTTTGCTACTCATTGGCTGCGTTCTGCCTCTCCCACCTCCCACCATCACAACCACCTCCCATGGGACCTGGCCAGGTCCATATCGACGGAACCCATCGGGGGCATCCGTATCCAGCTACTTAGGCTGTCTGTCTGTCTGACACTCTACATGCTCACTGGTGAGTGTGAAGAGTGTCCCTAACCACAGCGCTCCCGCTTGACACCCAGCCCCACGGATGTCAGCCAGGAGTAATCGCACGTAACCCGAAGTAACGTTGTCTTTGAGATGTGAATCTCCTTGCCTGCCCACAGTCGCTCCATTAGTCGCCAAAACGTCTCCGACCTTGTACGACCTGCCCTTCTGCCCCTGATCTGGCTTCATCGGATCCTCGCTCCAGTCGAACCAGCTGGGGAAGTTGTACCTCAACATGGCTGTCACGGCTGCAACATCCATGGTTCACTGTCCATTGCCCGCTTCCGAAACCTTCGGACTGGCTAAAAGGGTACCTGAGATGCATATTTCGCGTAATATTACGCTGGCGTAATTTAGCATAACATAACGGATTACGGTAGCAACACTGGATTAAGGTCCTGCTAATCCCGGCTAATCCCCGGCTATTCCTAAGGCCTGGGATTAGCGCAGGGATTGAAGATAAAATTCTGAAGTTACTCGTGGCTCCTTACTCCGAAGGATAGGTCACCAAGTACCCACATTGCTTACTACAACCGTGTGCTGCACTCTGTGCAGCTGGCTGTGTTGAAAGGGCTTTTGGGAGGCTCAAGGGTCGGTTCCGTTGTCTTGGCAAGAAGCTATCCCACCATGTCCACTATGCACGCAATGTTATTCTTGCCTGGTTCATCCTGCACAACTGGTGCATCCGGTATTACGATGGGGTCACGGACCATCAATTGTTTGAAGGGATTTCGGAAGAGGTGTCACTGGGCCAGGGGCGCCATGGTCATGGTGCAGACGAGGAAGGGGATAC